ATTTTCGGTTGTATTTGCAATCTTTCACTGGTAATCTGCATTATATTCAAACTACAAAGCAAAAATGCAGCATTTCTGATTAGTGAGGATTACTGGGAAGGGCATTACAGACTAAATACTTCTTAGCCCAGTTTATGATATATATTGATTTTATACATAGGGTTCTCATGTGCTAATGTCTTTGAAAAGACAGCAAGCATGTGAATTTTCAACCCAGTAAGCTTTAATTAAAAAATAAAAGTTGTAATGAAATTACTTTAGGGTTTCCTTTATTCACCAATATTAGATTAGTGATTTGGTCTTTATAAAGCAAATGCACAAGTTTGGTAGATGTAAAGTTACTGAAAGCAATACAGAAGCACGCCATAATGTAATGCTGGAGCATGTATTTATTACCAGGAATATATTACACACACCTTTACACAGTAACTGAAATAATACAAACTTTTTCTTCTAATTCAAACAGTCATGTATTATCAGACCACAAACCCCTACAACAATGGTGGGGTGGTGGGTGGGCAGGAGACACTTTACATGAAAGTCTACCATATGTCCATGGGACATAAATGCAATTAGCGCAGACCCTAAAATACTGATTTGGGTTCTTTAATCCAAAATATATCTTTGGGTTCATTTCTGGCTGATTTATTGATGATAAATATGACTTACAGTTATCTCTCCAAAGTTCTTTCTAAGGTAGCCAAACCATCATTTCACTATTTTTCTATCTGCTTGTTTCCTTCATGAATTACTTTGAAGAACCTTTAGGCAACCTATGGAAGATTTTTCTGGGATAATTTGGTGGCCAGAATGAATTTTGATGACTTCCAGGAAAGACAAATAGGGGATATAGGGAAACACAACTCATAATTTTTTTGTAACTGCCATATCTTGTTTGAAGCTCAGAGATACGTACTATAGTACTGCATTGCCACACTTGTCCCCAAAAGAAGGATTACAGTGGAAATGAGATTGCATTCTTGGTTTTGAGGTAAGACAAAACAGTTTGGTGAAAAGTATGGCAAGTGTGTTATGCTTCCAGCATTGCATTGCTCCCTAAACCAGTGTTTCTCAACCCTGGCAATTTTAAGGCATGTGGACTTCAACTCCCAGAATTCCACAGCCAACAATGCTGGCTGTGGAATTCTGGGAGTTGAAGTCCACATGCCTTAAAATTGTCAAGGTTGAGAAACTGGGCCTAAACAATCAGCCAGCAAATCGTGTCAAAGGCCATCTGTTAAGAACTTTTCAGGGCAACTGTTTTACTTTAGTGTGTTAAATGTAGTAGGAGAGTATGAGCACACATGTTCCTGACCTACGTCCGCTTGGATCTTCAAATAGTATATTTACTAAAACTACACGTTTCAAATTGTAAAACCATCTCCAATATTTTTCACGAGCTTACATTAAAACAAGGCTTCTAGTTTAAAGATAAATTATTGCCGGTGTGTGTGTGGGGAGACTTACCTAATGTATCAGTATAATATAGTATAATATAGCCAATCTTTGGGAGAGTTCTGTCAAGGCTGATTTCTTACCTCCTAAATCTTTCCAGCAGCAGCACCACTTATTTATTGGGCAGAGTTCTCTCATTTTTCTTTCCAGTACTACAATTACTAGAATATAAGATTCAAAAGAATATTTGCAACTCCCTTTGCCCCATACACTTGGAGCAATTCTGTCCAACATTGAGTTTGAAATTATAGAAGCAGGACTCAAAGGAATCACTTTTCCAAGCTAGTTCCTGTACTTCCTTTCATACAAGCTGATTGTGGTTAAACCTAATTAGGAAAAGGGATGCACACCTGGCACTGAGATTTAAGTGCCCAACTATGAAGAACATAGTTCAGCCTGCTCCATGCTTTAAATGTTGTAAGATGGAAGCTGCACAAAACAAGTTTCTTTTAACTTTGTACAGAACTCTTGTAACTAGTATTTTTGGGCTGTTGGACTATCCCCATTGTGGACTATCCCCAAATATTCTCCTTTATTAGTACTATTCCCATTGTCTATCTTCAATAGTTTTATAAGTTGCAGAGAAGCTGGTCACATCAAAAGTCATCAAGAATGTTCATTAGGTGAGCCAAAGCAATCTGGCAGTTCCATTGAAATTGTATCAATCCTTCGTGCCATCTCAAAAATGACTTTAACATTTTTCACAAGTGCTTTGCGATGGTGGCACAATGGCAGTGGTGAATTGGGCCTTCTATGTTTTGGTATTGCTTAGCAATGTAACATCATGTAAATGATAATTTTCTGCTTGAAATTAAAAACAATGAATTATGGTGCAGAAGGAAAAAGTTAAGAAGGAAAAAGTTAAGAATGCAGAAAATAATCAGTATAGCATACATGGGTAATGACTATCTTCTAGTCGGTATATGCATAGAAATAACAGTTGGGGTTGAGCTTTTGTAGGCTGGCTCTAACCACTATCAGCTGAAATCCCCATCATAGCTGGAAGCATTATTGTGTGAGGGGAAATGAAACAACTTCAACAGAGATGCCAATGGACAAATCACTCACCTGTCAATGACTAGCTCCATAGCCTGTCAGCAAAGAGTGATACATAACTTATAAGCAATAGAAGAACAAATATATCAACATGGTAACATGGATTAGATGAGCCAACACTGTTCACAATGATAACATAATAAGTGGACAAGCATACTGTGGTCTCTGTCTTCAACATTTATGTATAAAAAGTTGATAAAATTGCATTGGTAAGTCATTGACACTATTTTCCTGTTCTCAATTCATTTTGCCCTTATGTAAAATCTAATTCTGCAGTTTGTGTTACAAACATGACATGAGCTAATCTAAGAAGATGTTCTTAATATAATATCATGCAACGCAGCTACAAAAATAAATTCCTAAGGGGGGAAATCAATCTTGCTACTTTATACACAATGGAATTAGGCCACAAATCTGTGGTGGTCAGTTTAAGCTTTACCAGCAATTCCCAAACACTAAGCAGATTTTCTGGACTAAGTGTTTGTGCAAATTTCAGCAAAGTATTTGTCACAGCATGTTTTTCACTATATGTATTCCTGCTTTCTCACATAATGTGGCTCTTTCAACAGTTCTTAATTTGATGGACTCAGTCATGGCTGTGCAAAATATATACTAAGCTACAGCCACTAATCGAGAATCAAAGTGCCACATGGAATTGAATAACAAGACTTCATTTGCTTAAGTCAGCCTTGCTCAACACAGCATTAGTAAGATTTCTGGACTACAAATCCTTTTAATTCCCCAAAAGTAGGTTAAGAGCCATGTGAGCTTGCAGTCCACTATATCTGGAGGCTTTTAACTGGGGAAGGCTAACTTAGACAATTTATGCTCCACAAGCATCCAGTGCTTTCACAGTCTAGTCTAACATATCTGACAACATGCTAGAACACCTTCTAACACATCAAAGACAATAAGGGGTATTGGCTGCATACTTTTCAAACTTTCATTGAGATCAAGAATCATCTCCAAATATATTACTATCCTGTCTCCCACAAAACACTTTTAAGAAGCCAGTGTACATTTGAACAACCGGAATACCCCATTCAATGCTACTACTAAATACATATTTGGGTACCCCAGTGTTCAGATGGCAATTAAGAAAAGCAGAAATACTGAACCCAGTGGGTTGGCCATAAACTGAGATAAAATCCTGTGAACATGGAGTAAGTGAAGTGCACAATGTTAATGGTCAAGTTTAGGCCCCTGCTTTTAGAGCTATACCTGGTATCTCTAACAAAGTTGCTTAATATGCCAATACCACATACAACCACAACATAATTGAATAATCAATGATCAAAGGCAACCTTCTCAGCTTGCAAATTGCTTCACTGGCACTTCTTTAAATAATGTGCTACAAAGCCTGGGATGACTATGCCTTCAGGTTATCTCTGTGAATGAGAAGCAGCCTCTGTCAGTAGAGCAGGGTTTTTTATATGCAAAAGAGAGCAAAATACAGTCAAAGAACATCCAAACTACTTCATGTCTTCAACCGAACTTATTAGTATTTTGACTGTAAGTTAGGATTTTAGCCAAAATTTGATGGTCACTGTACAAAGAAAATATTTATCGTGTTTTTTGGGGGGAAGGAAGATTTGTGTTCATGTTTTTATATATATTAACTTGTTAGCAATTTAGAAACCTTAAAAAAAGCAAGTCAGTCTTATGAGCTAAATAAATAAAATAACTGACTGACTACAATTGCAAATACTGAGCCTGGAATGAGCCTGGATGAGTGACCATGGTAGGCATTGAGTAGAAAATCAATTTTCATTTTTGAAGTCAATAACTACTTAAGAATTCAAAAGTCGCTGGTGTCCTGCTTTGGAGAATGTACCACTCGGTGGTCATTTAGAAGATGCTTCTCCTTTTTTCTAACTTTTTTCTAGTCTGGATAGAAATGTTTCTGGGAAGCTTTGACCCCAGCCACCCCTCCCCCCCACCCAAAAGCAATTCCTTTCAGAATAATTTTTAGGCACGTTTTACAAAATTGCTGTCTTGAAAATATCAGCACTTTTTGCAGAATTAGTTCATGAAAAATTGCAACTCAGAACAGCTTCGGTTACACATGCAGAGCTGTATACAGTATGTAGGCCTTCTGGGTGTTTACATTTTGTGCCTGTATTTTAATACAATCCATACTTCACCAAAGCCATAGATGTAAGCAGAGCTATTTGCAACTAACCCGAAATATTATTGTGGAAAAAGAAATCATTCAGAGTGAATGATAAGTAACAGTAAGAGTTTTCCAGTGCTTTTGCCTCTAATCCCAGAAGATGTTTCCATGCATCAGACTACATTGCTATTTTTTGACCTCATATGCCAGTTCTGAGTTGCTGATGCTGAAATGACAAAAGTACATTGCCTAATCATAAGGAACTAGAGAATAGGTGGGACAGCAACAAATCTTTCACTGCAGTTCATAACAACTTGCTTGGACTGCAATTTTCCATATTCTGGGCCAAGTCTGTTTAAGTAGCTGCATTGGTCTGTCATCTTGGTACTGTGCTGACTTTAGCTGGAGTTGGGGGTCCCGATGAAGAGCGGTAAATGCGTGTTGGAGAAGTTGGAGATAGTTTAACAGGACTCATGGGTTCTGAGGTCTGCAGTTTCCACAGCAACTCTTCATTTGTCCTGCTCAGCCTCTTTTTTTCCTTGCTTTCCTTCTCAACATGTTCTTGGAGATTAGCATTTTCTTCAGATAACTGTCTGGAGAAGGTGACAAGATAACACCAAACTTGACATCACAAACAGGAAGAACACTCTGATCATCGACCAGGACTTCAACAAATACAATATTTTTTCCTAAAGAGCTTTTTTACCCCACGGATAAAAAAATTCATCATAATCATTTTGAAGCATAGAGAAGTCCAGCAACAGGCCTACATATAAATTAGACCTGAACAATTTTATACTATACATTTAGAAAAAACAGTGTAAAAAGTCATTTGTCCGAAATGATATAGGGTTTCCTGCCTGAGCAGGGGGTTGGACTAGATGACCTCCAAGGTCCCTTCCAACTTTATCATTATTATTGTTATTATCAAGTATCTGGATAAGTCCCCTAGTTCTACTTATAAAGATCTTAGATAGTAGGTTAGTCTGAGACAATCATTGCCAACTGAATATACATTGCTATGGTAGATGACTGAGTTATTTGACTCAGGAGAACATAGCATCATAATTTCATAACACTTCACAGCCAGAAAAGTTAATGCCACTAATATGTACATCAACTTATAGATGTTGACTTATGCTGGCAGATCTGGCAATGCAGATACAGAAAATTGGGAACAGCTTTTAAAAGCTTTTAAAGCAGCTGTGTGACTGACGCTTGCAAACATGCATCTGTGTTAAGCAGATGAAGAGAAGAACTTAGATGTACTCCAGTAAATAGGTTTTGAAACACCTCTTTCAAATAGCACAGCTACAGTTGTCTAGCTGATAAATAAGGAAGTTTGTGCCCCAATAAAGGTATACCTGATTCTTGAAACTGTTTGTCTCTTACAACAAACTGCTCACCTGCATTTTGTTTCATAACTAGGACTATTCATTATTTTTTAAACTATTGCTTATTTTGAAACTTTTTTTGCTTCTATTCCTTCAAAGGAAAAAGTTGATGCAATTTTCTGCCAAAGACTCAAGGAAGGAAGAACGTGGTTAGAGAAGCACCCTTAACATTGGTGCAAGAATGGACAATGATGTTTTACCTCATGTGGGTACATAAATATAAACAAAAGGTCAACAACCCCACTTCAGCAAGGCATTTCTGACTCATGTACATTACTAGAAAGTGGATTTATGAAATTTTACTATGGTAAATAAGCATTCAAAGAATTCATGGATGTTGTAATTTGAATTAAGCAATCTTTGATTCACAGTTCAGTCTTGTAGAATACAACCCTGTAAATGTTACTCGGGATGTTGGACAATTTTATTTTTTCTTTATTTTTTAAAATGAATGTTTTCCATTCACATTTCTTGCACCCCTTCATGGATCAGAAATACAGTATACTTTAGGCAATACACATACATAGAAAATATACACAAAATGCACATTTTACAGAAAATATGCAAGCTAAGAGCATATTTTCAGTGCATTTACCAATGGGCAAAAACTATGACTAAACACATGTGAGACTGATACTTTCATACCGATTTGTAAATAATTCCTGCTGAATGCATATACAGTAGCAACCTTAATCAGCACGGCATATGAACTCTCAATGTATAGAATAATGTTCATATTCTTCCAAGACTCTGATTCTCTTGAGCAATAGCAGCACAGTAAACATTAAAAAGACACAATTAAATCAGCTGATGATTGCCCCTATCTTCTTGCTCTGTAGAAAATATTTAAACTGACCTTGTCACCACAGTATTCTGATCAATCCTGACTTTGAGGTCTTCATTTTGTTGTTGTAGTACTTGAATTTTTTCTTCTAGAATTAAATTCTTTTCTGCCTAAAGAGATAGGGAGGCTATTATATTTACAAGCATGGGTGTCTGTGAGGGGTGGGACTGGGAGAATGATGAAAGTATTTTGACAATATGATTCAACCCTGAGCATTTCTGCAAAAAACATTGTAATGAAGCATGCATGTCCCTAGGGGGGAAATCCTGCACAGAATTGTTATTCTGAGAAATTGCTGGATTCTACGGATGCCTCTGAATTCAAGCAATTTGTACTGGAGACTTTCCCCAAAATATTATGATATAAAAGTTTTCTACAAGTCATTTCTACCCAGATCTGAATTAAACCACACATACATTCACCTCTGGAATCTAAAAATTAGAAAATTAGGATTACTGCAACCACATGTAAGATGCAGCCAAGACAGACAAAAGTTTTTAAGAACTTGTCACTAGCAATTCTACATTAGTTGCTGATCAAGCGTTGTCACGGGGAAACAATTTTTAGCCAGGCAAAGAGAATCCAAAACACACTGGCAAAGGTGAGAGCTATACACCTCTGCATCTGGAAGGTATCTAATTGGGCAAGATTGTTCTGGTAGATAATCAACAACATATTAATCTGTGCTTTTTAATCACTCTTCAAGTTTTTCATAAGCAATATGAAAACAGCAGCAAATGAGACATCACCAGCTTTTCTAGCTCCACGATCCTCTTTTCTTGTTGATGAATGAGTACATTCTTCATCTCCAGGACCTGCTTTAGGCTCTTCATATCTTTTTCTAAATGCTGATATGGAGCCAGGGCAACCTAAAAGAATACAGAATGACATGAGAAGCAGCACTATTGGATCACCCAGGGCAGGGGCTCCTATGCTCAGTAGTGTAAAAACAATCCAAACTGAGCTTGTACAAATCGGTCCTGATTTAATTAAATTGGCAACCTGAATACAACTTGATTAAAGAAAACAGCAAGATGCTGGTTGATGCAGCTGAACTGACTGAAGCCTCTCCATTCAGAAGCTATGAAGGGAAGATTCAGAATGCTGGCACCTGCTTCATATTTTGACAAGATGGAATGAAAACAGCAGGGATGGTAGACTTATTTGTAGACATTAATCCAGAAAGTTGCAGGCTTCAGTCAGTAGGCCCTTTAGTCTGGTTCTGGCATTTCTCTTGTAATGTCATAGAACAAGAAGAACATCTTTTGTATTTTTGAGTTAGAGTGAATAATGCACAAACATATATTGATTACCTCTAGTTGTTCTTCAGTGTTTTTCTTCAATGCCTCTTCAAATCGTTTTGCCTTGTCCTTTAGAGACTGGCTTTGAAAAGTGAGAGTATGTACCTGGTCCTGTAAATGATATTAAATACAATCACTTGTGAATGATGATCTAATTCACTTCTGGGCAAATATTTTAGATATGTCCCCTGAAAAAAAAAGTAATTGTTTTAAGTAAAACCCAAAGCGGGTAGCATAGAGTTCTCTGAGCCTCAAGGCAAATCTGTCAGACATGAGTTACTAATTAATGTTGAGAAAGCACCCTACTGGCTCCGGCAATTAATGGGAGAGAAAAAAGAGGAGAAAAGGAGGATGATCTTCTCCCCTGCAGCGATGAGCCTGAGCTTTATGGCCATTTTCCCTCACCATTTTGATTACATAAAATATCCCTTCCTTGACTGAAAGGAGATGAGGTGGCTGACATGGAAGGCCAGGCTCTTCTGCTTGAGCAGGGGGCTGGACTAGAAGACCTCCAAGGTCCCTTCCAGATTCTATTCTATTCCTATTCCTATTCTGTTCTGTTCATTTTCTCCATCCTTCCATTTGTAGATCTTACTCTTCTGGTATAACTCTTCTTGTAGCCTGCATGATCAAGTACCATTTTAGATAGAAGGTATGGGGCACGGGAGAATGGCCTTTCTGCTTGAATGGACTCCAGAAGATGGTAGAGGACAGGAAGGCCTGGAGGAACGTTGTCCATGGGGTCGCGATGGGTCGGACACGACTTCGCAACTAACAGCAACAAGCAGGACATTTGGAGCTATAGTAAAACTAGCCTTGTCTTTGAAATGCTGCAACTTGCTGGAGCTGGCAGTTGTCCATTTCCAAGCTTGCAGCAGGAAGCTCTGCCTCCTGCTTCAGTCAGAGCTTTTAGATGTTCTAGCTTAGCCTGACTTTTAAGGAGAAAGTATTTAAGTCTCATAGTGTTTAAGATCCTCAGAACAGAAAGTGCTCTGATATTTTTTTTTATACAACTAGATGAATACACAGCAACAAGATGGGATGTGTGCATGTATGTGTGTGGGAGTGTCATATGCATAAGCAAGTGTTTAATTTTCCTCCTGTCTATTCAAGAGTTAAAAGATTTTCTGCTTTGCTTTTTGAGGATTTATAGCAGTTGAGGCCACCAGTGATTCTTTGTCCTTGTCACGAAGTTGGCAGTTTTAATCTTTCTGCAGGTCTGTGTTGTGTTAGTTTAAGAAATGCCAATTGTCTATGCTGCCACATCATTCTAAGCAGAATTACAACAAGTGTCGAGGTACCAATTTCACCCTTCAAAAACACAGCAAATGGTTCCCACCCAGCCTAGTGCACCAATTAGGTTACTTTTAAGGCAAATCATAATGTTTAGGGTTTATCAATAAAGGAGAATAGGATTTAGTATGTTAATGCAGCAACTGTGGCTTCTTGAATAAACCATAGATAAAATAGTCCATGGTGGCATGTGAGCATAGCCAATACATGAAAAAAGCATCATCTTCATTTCTTTTTTTCCTATTATTCATTCATGGAAGAATATGTTTCACTGAATACAGTATTTGAAAATGCTGGGTCATTAGTAGTGGTAGCCATGACTCTGTTCCTAACTGTATTACAGCAATGCCAAAATGTGTATTGTGACTTAATGTTGCAAGCATCTTATTTGTTTTGCAACAGCAAGCACAAATATGTAAGGTTTTAATATTGTGTCACAACATATGTTTAGTCCAGGGGTAGTCAACCTTGGCTCTTTTATGACTCGTGGACTTCAACTCCCAGAATTCCTGAGCCAGCATGGCTGGCTCAGGAATTCTGGGAGTTGAAGTCCACGCGTCATAAAAGAGCCAAGGTTGACTAGTCATTTGTCCTTCCCTTTACATCTTTTATATTGTGATATTTATCATGATTTAAATTTGGTTTTAACGCAACCTTTTGAAATCTGACTTTGCAAACCATTGAACAAAGGTAACGCATAAATCAATAATCAATAATTTACATATGTGTCTTTGGTATATGTGCTTGAGGAAGCGTGGTGGCTCAGTGGCTAAAGACGCTGAGCTTGCCAGCTGGAAAGCTGACAGCCCAGGTTCAAGACCTGAGCACTGCATGAAGGGGTGAGCTCCCGTTACTTACCCAGTTCCTGCCCACTTAGCAGCTGAAAAGCACGCAAATATGAGTAGATAAATAGATACCACTTTGGTGGGAAAGTAACAGCATTCAGTGCACCTCAGTGTATAGTCATGCTGGCCACATGACCATGGGAATTGTCTTCGAATAACACTGGCTCTCCTGGTTAAGAAATGGAGATGAGCACTGTTCCCTATAGTCGGACATGACCTGACTTTTACCTTTATATATGCTTGATTTCAATGTTCATCAGAAACTCAGAAGAGCCGGGATAGATCAGGCTAGTCCAGCCATAATCTTTGCTTGCAAGGGAACAGCTCCAGCCCTCTGATCATTTTGCCAGATGTTTTCCAGATCTGTGATATCCTTTTCAGTCATGATAACAAGAACTGTACACAATACTCCAAGGACATTTCCTCACTAGTAATTTAGTGTTTTGTAGCACCAGCCAGCCAGGGCTGTAGTGATATAAAGCCTGTCTTTGTTACAGTTTTATCATCCCAGTGATACCTGGAAGTCACTATAAATCATTACTGAGCAAATAGCACAAATGTGGTCTTATCACAGAACTGTATAAGAGCAAAATTATATTAGCAGTTCCTTTTTCAATTTCATTTTTATTGCCTCCAAGCATGAAATTGGGACTGTTTCACAAAGGGACTGACGTTTTCATCAAGCTGTGCATTATGGCTACAAGCCAGTCATTGTCAGCTTGGATATCATGTATATATAGACAAAGCACTCTTAACAGTTTCTGTCCAAGTCATAGAGCTGGAAATGACTTCAGAGGTCATCTAATCCTACCTCCTCTTTCCCCAAAGCATTCTGGACAGATGGTTACCTAATCTCTACTCTGAAGGCCTACATATCATTTCCTGAGATACCTATTGGTTGACCTGCATCCTCTTCCCTGTAATTTCAAGCTCTTACAGGATGACAGAGAACAAGTCCAGTTCTTCCTTTACAATGACAACTCTTTAAAGATCTGAAGACTTTACTTCTGCAGATTTAACATTCCAAGTTCCTTTAATTATACCGCATAGGGTTTGGCTTCCACTTTTTCCGTGATCTTGTTAGCCCTTCTCTGAACTTGCTCCAATAAAGTCTCTTTTAGACTGTAGTGTCCAGATCTGGGCACAGTATTCCAAATTGGGATTGATGAAGCAGAATAGAGCAGGACAATTATATCTTGTGATCTGGACTGTATCTTGTGAATTCCTCCCAGAACAGCATTGCTTCTTTAACTGAACTTTCCATTTCTCCCTGCTAAGGTTTCTTTCTGTTCAAACACTTTAGATCTTTTTTGGATCCCCCCTTTCTCTTCTAAAAATATTAGCCAGCCCTGGTTTTGTGCAAGTGCGATTTCCTCAACTTCTTAATCCAGGTTATTAATAAAAATGAATCAGGATTCAAGATAGAGAAACAATGTAATTTTTCCAGCGTATTCCTCATTTGCTGCCTTTAAACATAATGTGGCTTGATCTTCAAAAATAATTTGAAGCAGGAGAACAAACAAATAACAAAAACCTTACCCCAGAAATCCTAACCTTGGGGGGGAGGTGTTCTTGAGTACCATCTGTGTGCAAACTCACAGCACTAATCAGAGAAATAGTAGACAAGTACGGCTGATGAAAAGGGAAGCCAGGAGGTATTTTAATAGATGCAAACCGCTCCGTATCAAGATACTTTAGAGTCTGTTTCATGCTGCTGCTTTTGAACTGCTGGAAGAATTTTGTTCTTCCAGGAGACTCACATAATGTAACAAGCAACAATTCCAACCAGCATATGAATAAAATACTAACCTGGAGTGACAAGCGCAACTTTTCAAAATTTTCTTCAAGTTCTCTTTTTTCTTGTTCATGAGCAGACTTCATTTCTAGAGGGAATTTTTTGTAAAGAAATCACACACATTTCATGTTTGCATTTTAATATGATTTTAATGAAAACTGCGATAGTTAAAAAAAATTAAATTTGGAACTGCTGAATGAATATTTGTTGATTCAGTTACTGTGATCTAGTGAACTTAGAAGTTTCCTGTTGTAAACTCAGCTGACAGCCTATACAGTGTGGAAAGAAAGAAAGAAAGAAAGAAAGAAAGAAAGAAAGAAGAAAGAAAGAAAGAAAGAAAGAAAGAAGGAAAGAAGAAAGAAAGACACCCCTCCTCTTAAATATTGATGATATTTTGTTGACCCCCCAGTAATTTGTGGTTTAATAACCCATGTGTTAAAAATTAATAGCCCAATTAATTGCTATAAGCTCATGACTTCATAAATAATAAAAACCTGTTTCAATGCTAACTTCACTCACAAGAGGGCAATCTTACTGCATAAACCTGCATAAACCTTAGATGATTGGAGATAAGCAACATCTGCGCTAATTCTTACAATTGCTCTTCAAACAGCATAATAGGGAGGATTTTAGGTAGGGATGATTTTAAGAAAATTTTAATTGACACACAGCTTCTAATATTTGGCTTTTAATTTGGTTTTATGGGG